TTAATGGGTTTGTATCTCTCAATGAAAAATCAGTCGACTTTGTTTAAAACATTAAGAAACAGAGAGGGAACCATCCAAATTTCAAGAACCAAAAAAATTTCAATAGACGAGACTGAACCTGTGGCAGAGACGGAGAAAGATAGACGCGAAGTAGGCCTTGTAGAGAGAGAAAGTGACAAAGAGACGAAACGAAAGAGGGTCGCCACTTTTCACTGCACAAAGAAGGTCACTCTCGGGCGGAGAAAACAAGGATCGCTACAAAAAAAATTCAGAAATGTAGATGATGATGAAATTAGAACCGGGCAGTTAAACCGGTTTAATATCGGCCGGTTAACGATTCTTCCATTTTTATAACAAACTCGCAAACCAATTCTGAATAGTCGTATGCCGAAGAAGAGATGAACTGACCTGAAGATGAAATATTTGTCGGGAATCGTGAATCCTGCCTGACTTCACACTCTAGAGTCTATTCGGTTTAGGACCCGGTTTCGACTTTCGGTTACTGTCTTGTAATGAAGAGGATCAATTGCAGAAACACTCCGGTTTGGAGAACCAAAATCTGAAACACTCCGGTTGTAGGATTTTTTTTACTGTTTTTGTTTATAAACGAAAAAGCAGTAAATGACCAAAAAATCAGCGACCCAAACACGGGAGATCCACCCGATTTTAAGCCTGTTGGATCTATATCCGGGTGAAAACGAAATTAAAATAAAGTTAGGGTAAATCCGAAACCCTACTACTTCGGTTTCGTGAAACGATTCTCATCTTTCTCCTCTCTTTCAGTTCAGAGTCGTTACAAGTAGAATTCTAGAATTTGCGAGTGAAGAAATCGTGAGCAATGGTGAAAATAAGCCATGGTAAGCCGCCACCGCCGAGGAAGAAAAATGAGAAGAAGGAGAAGGATGCTCCTCCGTCGGACCCAATTACGCCGGTAGTCGAAGAACAAGCAACGGAAGAAGCGGGTCGGGATGAATCGGGGAATGTAGAAGAAAGGGTAGTAGGAGATGGAGGTTCAGAAAATCG